CCCGCAGCAGTAATGTGTCCCTCAATGAGGTGTTTAAGCAGAGGCTGCGGGGCCAGTTCTGAAGGAAGGAGAGTGTAGAAAGGGATTGAACAGTTGGGGATGGGGAGGGGGTATGTGAGATCTTTCATTTCCCTTCCAAACCTGAAGCTTCTGAATGATTCCTCCATCTCGACAGTCATTTTAATTCAACTAGAAGCACTCAAATGTGTCCCACTGAAGTTCATATTCTAGATAATTACCGTGGCAGTTGGAAAGATAAGTCACTGCTGCTCCTGGAGAAAACAGGACCCTTGCACCACACACACAAACACACTCCCCAAGAAGAACATATATTTTTTAAAGTTTTTTTTAATATTATTTTTCAAAGGATGCTAACTTATGAAGAAAATTAGCAAAGTGCACAAATGTATAATGCAGAAAATATAAATTATTCATAATCCCAGGACCTAGAGATAACCACCATTGGTATGTATCTCATCAATCTTTTCTCCTACGTATTTTTGACATGATTGATATTATACTGCATTTCCCTATAATTTTCGCACTATAACAAGAATTTTCCCAACTCATTACAAGCTCTTTCTAAATATTTTTTGATACCTGATATAGCAACAACACATTGTGGAATATTCTGGTTCTTTTTCAATTTTTTAGTTATAAAAAATACTATAGTGAACATATTTAGGCAAAAACTTTTCTCTACCTATTTGATTTTTCCTCATGCAAACCAAAGGTCTGTGGACACAACAACACTGTAGCTATAAATGAGGTCATGTTAGCCACAATAGCCCACTTCCCCAGTCTTTTACTTCTCCCTGACAACACAGGCTTCAGCTGCCTAACACGTCTCCCCAAGTGTGTTCTGAAATCTCAGGAGTTTCTCATGTGTTTTGGAACAAGGTCACAACCACCTTCCACTCAGTGTGTCTGCAGAGCACAGCCAGACACAGCGATCAGCTGTGAAGGTTCCCCCCCATCTCCAAGTTGGGCTCTCCATGTGGAAGTGGGAAATGAGTCCAGCTCCTCCCAATGCCTTGTGCCTTTTTATTTCACCGGGTTCCTTCTGAAAGGGCTCCAGTTTCTGCCTGCAGCTGTGCTCTGTCCCCAGGTCTAAGCTGGAGAGCATAAACCATACTATCTTCTCTATGTCTCTGTTCTCTCCACTCAGGGGCATATAAGCAAGACTTCCTCAATTGTTCCCCTGTCCGCATACAAATAAATCTGCAGCCCTCTAACTTATCCAACCACCCGATACAAACAGACACTAAATCAAGGTTTAAGAGATATTCTTAGAATTATAATTACAAAACCAAAGTGTACAAAGTTTAAGGTTCTTAAATATATTTGTATGTTGCTAAATGCCTTGCACCGGTTTATGCTCTGACCACTAGGATGTGAAAGGCCTGTCAGGACTCAGTGGTTAAATGAAGTAGCCTAAGTTCATTGATATTTACAAGGACAGATTTTATGGAAAAGGTAAGTTTGGAACTGAGTTTATTGAAGAGTAAAGGGCATGGTTTGGAGTAAGGGGCATTTTGAGGGAAGGCAGGTGAGGGGCAAGAAAGATCAGTGGCTGGGGGAGGAGGATGCAGGGAAGAGTGTGCATAAGACTTCAAGCAGATTTCTACTGGTGAATAATAGCACTGGAACAAAGTGTGAAAGTTCCAGAATTTTAATTTTATGAGAAGTAACTGGTCACTAGTAGTCAGGGAAATGCAAGTCATGACAACAATGAGATACCATTTTACACTATTCAATTGGCAACAATTAAGAATTTTGATTGAACCAAGTATTGGAGGAGATGTGGATAAATAAGATCTTTTATATACTACTAGGGCAGGGGTGTATACAATCACATGGGAAAACAACTTGGCATCATCTTGTAAAGTTAAAGATTAACTTAACTTCAGCCCAAAAGTTCCAAGAGAAATTCTTACACATGTACTTGGAGACATATACAAGAATGTTCATAGCAGCACAGTTTGTAATAGCAAAAACATGGAAACAATCCAAGTGCTCAGCCCAATCGACAAAAGAATGGGTGCTTAGCTGTAATAAATTTACACAATAAAATAATATTCATCAGCAGCATGTGAGTGAACTACACATAGCATAAGTCACAATATGGTGAATCTTAGAAACAAAATGTTGAGTCAAAAAGCAATTCTTAGAAGGCAATATAGAATATTTCTTTTTGTATATTCAAATTTAAAAAATGGAACCTTATGTTGTTTAGGCATCAATATGGGTGTGTGCGTGTGAGGGAGGGAGGAAGGGATGGAGGGATGGAGAGAGGGAGAGAAGGAGAAAGGGAGTGAGGGGGGGGGGAGAGAGAGAGCTTTTTAAATCAATCGTGAAAATCACGAAGATCAGGTGATTACCTCTTTTGGGAGGCAGAGGTATGAGACAAGTGGAGAACATCTAGTTGCTAGTAATGTTCTAGTTTGGGAATGAAGGGGTTTGATAGGCGTGTATTTTGTGATTAACTGGTTAATCAATTAATTGGAGCTTGGCGTCAAGGCCAACTGTCTGAGGAAAACAGACATGGTCTAACACAGAAATCATTCTTCTCCTTGTGCAGAACACATGCGCAGCTCAAGCAGTTAAGGCAGAGCTCACACAATTGATGACAAATCTGATTTACAAATTGCTTTGTGGATTTTCCCCAAACAACACTTTAAATTGACAGTGGGGAGGAGTCCTTAAAGACAGAAGTTCTTCACAAAGCTCTCACTGTAGTGACTCCTAGTGGACAAAAGCAGAAGCCAAACCAATTTGGGTATGGTGGCACTGTCCCCTAGTGGAATATATGAAGAATATCCAGGTAGAAATGAGTTGAAGAAAGACTACCAAGCACTGTACCAGTAAGTAAAAATGAGCACACATTAAACAACAAATAATAAAAGACATACTATGAAAACCCTAAATCATGTGGAAGGATCAGTCATTCCTACCTACGGCCACGGCCCATCATGAGTGGCGCTGTCCCCAAATGCATTCTACACACTGTGTGAAGACTGGCATTTTTCAGGTGAAGTAGGAAAGCCCCCGAGTGTGGCTTTGATATCATCGTTCAGCCAAGACCTGCTCCCTGGTTCAACTCTGCCTCAGCCCTTGAAAGGCCAAGTAACCAAATGCCCATTTCACGGGCAAATCCACTGTCCCTGCACTTGGGCATGACTGAGTGACCACTTTGGTTACCACCACACGTAATCACTGTAACAAAAGGGGAGGTCACTCAGATTAACTGTGACTATATGAATAGCCAGTTACAAATATTCCACGCATAACTTAGGGTAGAAAATCTCATATACGTTATATGTTGAGATATAAAAGCATATTTTTTATTGCAAAAGTAAGATCCTGAAATAATGAATGGTTTGAGCCTTTAATTTTACATATGAAACTATTATTTTAAAATCTTACTAAAAATTTGAAAATGAATATATATATGTGTATTAAAGAGAAAACAAATTTTCTAAATAGTTTATGAAGGATATTATATCTCTTTTGGGCTTACAACTATTTATTTAATTTATTTATTGAATTTAAAAAGTAATTTAGAATAACAGAGTTAAGATTGTATCAGTTCTATGCTTTTTAATATTGTTTGGTACACAAGCATTCATAATATTAAACAAAATAATCTTTAAGAATTGCATTTAAGTATTAATTATTTAATCCCAATTAAGCCATGAGTCTTTGAGAAAAAAATCCTATTTATGAATTCTTCACATCTTGTGAAGACGAATTAAAGCAAAACTTCAACTTCATTACCTCAAATTATCATGAGGAAAAACTCCAAACATATACATTAAAAATACAATAATAAATATCATCCAATTCAGGTGTAATAAAGAATATAAAAAATCTGAAAGAAAAGTTTAGAGAAAAACAAGGTACCCAAAACATAGTTTTGTTCTTAGCCAAACTTCAAAAGGCACAGACTAAACAAATGGATCAAGCATACAGCTTTGTACTGTTTAGTCTATTTCTGGAGGCCAAAAACAGTTGTCCAAATGATGGCTTTAGATTGTCATTCAATTCAATACTTGGAAATGAAACACTCAGCTTTCGAGAGCTGTCCAAACTATGAATCCTAGGGACAATATTGCTCTGGAAAATATATTCCTAAAAATAATTTTCCTGAATTATATTCTGCTGTGTGTACGCACACACACACAGTGATAATTCTAGATGTGCTACTTCTATATCATGTACATTATGCATCTGAACAGGCAGAAACAACCAGAGTCTCTTTTAAACTTAACAGCATGATGGATTAATGATAAATTTAGCAAGATTCTCTCCTTGCAAATTGATTGAGGAAATATTTACAGACTGGAAAACCAGTTTTTAAAACGGCAATACCATACAATTGTCATCAACAGTGAAACAAACAAGAATTAGGCTATGAATGGTTTAGGAATCACAAACATACAGTCAGGGCTGGTTTCATGAGTGTGCAATTTGTGTAGTTTCACAGGGACCCGCACTTAGAAGTGTGCCCAGGCTTGGTTTAATGCTCTCCTGCTACACTCCTGAATTCTTAATAATTTTTTAACAAGGAGCCCCATTTTTTTATTTTACCATGGCACCAGCAAATTATAGCCTGTCTTGCATACAGTGTTTTGTTCACATCCTTACAGTATGTGTTTAGGAAGCAACTTCAATTAGTTTCATGAAGACCATTTTCAGTGTTAGTCTCCCTAGATAAAGGTGCATGATTTCCTGGTTGCTTTATTTCCATTTAAGGGAGTCACTAGTGCAAACTCATGTTGCTTATTTGGAAGGTAGAAATCTCTTGGTCCATGTCTAGCAGCAATAGCGAGCTTTTCACATTCAGCCACTGCCCTAGTATTCTACACACTGCCACTGGAAGTTAAGTGTGGTTACAACCAGCAAGGATGCCAGTTTGGTATCACAGCCTCAAAAACAGTCATAATGGAAACCTGTCATTTCTGCCAGACCAGTGCACCTCCTTTTGGTAGCAGACTCACCTTTTCTTTTCAAAAACGATCTCCATTTTCACACTGGAAGAACTAGGTAGAGCTCAACCCAGCCGCACACACCCACTCCCAGCTGGAGGAGATCAGTTTAACCGGCAGTCCACAGTGACTGCTTCAGCTGTGGTCACTTGACCCAATTAGGGCTAATCATAATCTGCTCCTAAACTTCTTAGATGGAGTTTTAAGCTGAAAGAACTGAAATCAGGCCATCTTTTTCACCACAGTAAGAAAACCCACCAGCCAAAGAAAAGAGCCAATTACTGGAAACAGAGCTAAGGGCAGAGAAAAACCAAAAATCAGAATCCTGAGGCCTTCAGCTGAAGCTCTGGATTTAACCAAGCCTCAAGCTGCCTGCACACCAAACTTCTCCACCCAGAGTCCCTTTGCTGTTTTTAAAATTAGTTTGAAATGGGTTCCTGTCACTTGTAGCTGACAAAGTACCAAATAATACCATTCTACTTCTAGACTCTCTCTTCAGGAAATAATCAGAGATACATACAAAGATCTATGTAAGAGATTATTGACCAAAATTAGTTTTTATGGCCTATTTTCATTATGTCTTTTAAGAATAAAATAAAATGAGGCTGAGAATCAGGAGGGATATCTCAGCTGCAGAGGTCCTTCCTGGAGGAGCAAGGGGTCACAGCCCAGAGTACCAGTGCCAGGAAAAGAATCCCCCACATCTGGCTGTGAAAGTCAGTAAGGATTTTGTCCATTCAGGTGAGATGAAAGGCTGTGGGGAAACCTGACGTCCTCTGAAGGGGCCCGCACAAAGACTCACTTGCTCACAGGCACTCACCCTGGGCTCCAGCAAAGGGACAGCAACTTGGGAGATGTCAGAGATATACAGTGAGAAACTGAGCTATGCGGCTTCAGGACAAGAACTGGAGGGACAGCCATCACTGTCCCTGTGTTGAGCCCTCTTCCCACGCAGCCAACAGGTAGGCACCCTCTTTCCTGTGTTGAGCCTTCTCCCAAGTCTGAATCTGCATTAGCCTGATGACCTCCACTCTCCCTACCCTGATGATTCCCGGAGTTCCCCTGCTCCACCCAACTCATGCACCACCAGAGGTTCTTTCAGTAGTGGGCAGCCAGCTTTGGCCCACACTGCAGTCTTTCTTAAAAATTCTCAAAGGTCCATAGGCCCCAGATAGGCAGCAGCTGACCTCGGTGTTCCCTGTGCCTTTTGCTGAGTGGCTCCACGCTCAACACTGGAGCCAAATCTGAATCTGCATTGACCTGGTAAACACCACTTGCCTCACCCTGCTGAATCCCAGCCATCTGGCCTCACCCAATCCTTGTACAGCCCAAGGCTCTTTCAGAAGCAGCTGGCAGGTGGTGGCAGGCCTCAGGATACCCTATGCCTTTTGTTGAGGAGCCCAAGCCTGGTATTGGTGGCAGCCAGCCTCAGGTCACAATGTGACCTCTTTCACACACCTCCAGCCCCAGCACAGGCAGCTACCAAATGCAGATTGCTTTGTAGCTACCAGGTGGCCCCAGGCCAGTGACAGGCAGCAGCTGAACTTGGCCTGCACCTGAACACCCCCCAAGAGGCCCAAGAGCCAATATACCTGGAGGTTGGCATCAGACCATACCAGAGCACCTCCCAATTAGCTCCACAAGGAGCACATACACAAGGTGGTCTCTGTAGGCACCAGAGCCTGCTGGACAAATCCTGCTCCTTGGAGTCAGCTTCTGCACAATAGCTCTTGGCCAGTTCTCACAGCCAGTCAGCCTAAGGGTCAACCACACTCACTGATGTGCCAACAGCAACCAAGGCTCAACTACTACAGTGGGCACACACAACCCATACAAGGGACACTCCTGGAGCACCCAGCTCAGGTGATCAGGGAGAATGTATCACTGGACTCCACAGGACACCTCTTACATAAGGCCACCAAGCCAAGATTGGGAGAGGTGGCAGATCTACCTAATACATACAAACAGTCACACAGAGGCAGCCAAAATGAAGAGACAAAGAAACATGTGCCAAATGAAAGAACAGGAAAAAAAAAACAGAAAAAGAGGCAAGCAATCTACCAGATGCAGAACACTGTTATCAAGATGCTCAATGAACTTAGGAGAAGAATATATGATCTCAGTAATAACTACAACAAAGAGATAGCAAACAAAAAAAAAAGGACATAGAAACCATAAAAAAGAACCAGTCAGAGGCTGGCCAAGTGGCTCAGTTGGTTAAGAGTGCAAGCTCTGAGCAACAGGGTTGCTGGTTGGATTCCCACATGGGCCAGTGAGCTGCGCCCGAACTGAGCTGCCAACAGGTGGCAGGATGGCTCAGCTGGTGAGAGCATGTGCTCCTAACAACAAGGTTGCCGGTTCAACTCCTGCATGGGATGGTAGGATACGCCCACCTGCAACTAAGATTGAACACAGCACCTTGAGCTGAGTGGCCATGAGCTACCAATGGGTGGCCAGATGGTGACTGGACTTGGGAGCTGAGCTAGCTGTGCCCTCCACCACTAAAATTGAAACACAACAACTTGGCTGTTCCCCTCCCCCAATTCCCCAACACTGTTTGACTTCCCTTATTCCCCAATAAAATCTTAAAAACAACAAACAAAAACAAAAAAAAATTCAGAAATAAAGAATATAATAACTGAAATGAAGAATATATTAGAAGGAATTAAGAATAGATTAGAGGGGGCCGGCTGAGTGGCGCAATGGTTAAGAACTGGCTTGGGACGCCAGAGGGCCCCGGTTCAGATCCCACATATGAGGGCCAGTGACACTGCCCTCTACAGCTAAGATGCTGAACAACAGCTCAACCTGGAGCTGGGCTGCCGTGAGTCGCAGGCGACGGCGTAGGCTGCAGCCCCTGTGGCAGTGGGTTGCCATGGGCTACCGTTGTGTAGTCAGCAGCGAGTGTGAGCAGCCAGCAGCCGTGGTGAGCGGCCGTCCAGAAGCCGGCGACTGATCTGCCTTGCCCGGGAAGAGCGCAATGATGGTGCCAACTTGGGCCAGTGAAGCAACGTCCTCCACAACTAGACTGAAGAACAAAACGACAGCAACTTGTCTGTTCCCCTTCCCCCAATTCCCCAGCACTGTTCCCATCCCCCCAATTCCCCAATAAAAATCTTAAAAAAAAAAGACTAGATTAGAGCAAGCAGAGGATCAAATCAGAGATTTGGAAGAGAAGGTAGCTGGAAACACTCAATCAGAACAGAAAAAAAAAAAGAATTTTAAAAAATGGGGAAGTTTAAGGGACCTGTAGAACAACATCACAACATAACAACATTTGCATCATAGGAGTACCAGAAAGAGAAGAGAGAAAGCAAGGAATTGAAAACCTATTTAAAGAAATAATGACTGAAAAATTCCCTAACCTGGAGAAAGAAATAGACATACAAGTCCAGGGAGAGCAGAGAGTCCCAAACAAGATGAACCCAAACAGGCCCACACCAAGTCACATCATAATTAAAATGCCAAAAGTTAAAGACAAAGAGGGAATCTTAAAAGCAGCAAGAGAAAAGCAGTTAGTTACCTATAAGGGAGTGCCTATAAGACTGTCAGCTGATTTCTCAACAGAAACTTTGCAGGCCAGAAGCGATTGGCAGGAAATATTCACAGTGATGAAAGGCAAAGACCTTTAGATTACTCTACCCAGCATGCTATCATTTAGAATCAAAGGAGAGATAAAGAGCTTCCCAGACAAGAAAAAGCTGAAGGAGTTCATTAACACCAAATCAGTATTACAAGAAATGTTAAAGGGACTTCTTTAAGAAGAAGTAGGGGACATATATATGAAGAATAAAATGACAATAACTACATAACTATCAATAATCACTTTAGATGTAATATAGTAAATGCTCCAATCAGAAAATAGAGTGGCTGAATAGATAAGAAAACAAGACCCTTATATATGCTGCCTACAAGAAACACACTTCAGACCAAAAGACACACACAAACTAAAAGTAAAAAGATGGAAAAAGATGTTTCATGCAAATGGAAATGGAAAGCTGGAGTAGCAATACTTATACCAGACAAAATAGACTTTAAAAGAAAAGCTATTATAGGGGACAACAGTCTTAGTAGCGGACCACAACACCCTATTGATATCAATGGACAGATCTTCCAGACAGAAAATCAACAAGGAAACAATGGCCTTAAATGACACATTAATCCAGAGGGATTTAATTGATACTTTTAGAGCATTTCACCTCAAAGCAGAATATACATTCTCCTCAAGTGCACATGGAACATTTTCCAGGATAGACCACATGTTAGGCCACAAAACAAGTCTCAATAAATTTAAGAAGATTGAAATCATATAAATCATCTTCTCTGACCACAATGATATGATACTAGAAATCAATTATAAGAAGAAAAACACACAAACACATGGAGGCTAAATAGCATGCTACTAAATAATGAACGGGTCAACAGTGAGATCAAGGAAGAAATAAAAAAATACCTTTAGACAAAGGAAAATTAAAACACAATGGCCCCAAATCTATGGGACAAAGAGAAAGCAATTCTAAGAGGGAAATTCATAGCAATGCAGGCCTACATAAAGAAATAAGAAAAATTTCAAATAAACAATCTAACCTTATACTTAAAAGAATTAGAAAAAGAACAGCAAAGACCAAAGTGAGTAGAAGGAAGGACATAATAACGATCAGAGAGGAAATAAATTAAATAGAGTCTAAACAAAAATACAAAAGATCAATGAAACCAAGAGCTGGTTCTTTGAAAAGATAAACAAAATTGATAAACCTTTAACCAGACTCATCAAGAAAAAAAAAAGAGAGAGGACACAAATAAATAAAATCTGAAATGAAAGAGAAGTGACAACTGACACCACAGAAATACAAAGGATTATAAGAAAATACTATGAACAATTATACGTCAACAAATTGGACAATCTGGAAGGAATGGATAAATTCCTACAAACATACAATCTTCCAACCCTGAATCAGGAATAAACAGGAAACCTGAACAGACTGATTATTACTAATGAAATTTAATCAGTAATCAAAAACTCTCATCAAACAAAAGT